GCCCCATCGAGAGGCTGGGGAGGGGGAGCCATCCGCCACTTGGGACGGGACGAGCCCGGCCGGAGTGGCAGGGGCTCAGCTGCATTTCCCCCTGCCTGCGCCTGTCAGTCCTGAGTGGCACACGGCTCCGCCGCCGCTTCTGCTGGTTGACAAATGCCCATGTGTGCGTGCAGCTGCAGCACAGCATGCAGGCAGTGAGGAGCACAGCCTGACAGCTTGGAGAGCTGTGTGCAGCTGGTAAGCCTATTGTGGTGGAGGGCATGGGGGGCGGAGCGTGTGCCCCCTGTATCAGGGTGGGGCAAAACAGGCTGCAGTTGCAGGCTAGGGCCATGGGCCGCAGGGAGGGCTGGGCTGGGCTACACTCGGGGTGGACATGCAGTGGCGGCGCCGGGGGGGGGGGGGATGGGGGCTACAGAGAAATTTGGGGTGGCTGGAGCCCCCTGCCAGTGCTGTGCCCACCCTACCCTGGCTGGGCAGTACGTACCCCAGCCCCACTTCCTCCCTCACCACGGGGGGGCATTGATCTGCCCCCACATGCCCCTTCTGCCTGTCCCCTCCCCATCTGGACGCAGCTGTATCGGAAATCGGATCGGTATCGGCTGACATGCCTCCTTAAAAGTTGGCTATAGGTATCAGCCCCCAAAATCTTTATCAGTGCACCTCTAAAAAAATTGTCAATTTTTGGTTGCCTGCTCCTCTTTGACACAGGAGATTCCATTAACTTTTAAATAATATGGATGCTGCGTATGGAGATTTAGTGCTGCATGGTAACATACGCTGGTTGAGTCAAGGTAATGTGCTCAAGCGATTTGTTGCTTGTCACGAGTCCATCAAGCTGTTTCTTGAGGAAAGTGGTCAGCAATATGCAGACCTTACTGATGACAGATGGCTAACAAAACTGATGTTTCTGACAGACATCACATTACATCACATCTCATCACATTTAAACTATTTGAATACCAGGTTACAAGGAACACAGAAAGCCATCCTTCAGCTGTATGAAGACTGGAAAGGTTTCTGTCTGTTTTCAGATGAGATATCGAAACATCTACCTTCTGTTACTTCCCTAGTCTGAAAATCCATTCCAAGCAGCATCAATTTAACACTAGGGATATCTGCGACTACATAGGACAGCTGGAAGATGACTTCACAAGATGATTCCAAGATTTTTGCAACATGTTTTCATTTCTTGTGACCCCTGACAGTACTACAGAAAGTGGCATAGAACTGCAGTACTTTCAGTGGATGAACATTGAAGGATTTGAATTGGAACTGATTGACTTTCAAGCCTTGTGCATCTGGGTATCAAAGTTCAAATTTCTGGAAGGTGATCTTAAGAATGAAAGGGACTGACAACTCAAGATTACAGCGTCCCTTCCTGAAAAAAGTAGCTTTTGCCTTGCTGTCTTTGGATCTACTTATCGCTGTGAACAAGTGTTTTCAAAACTGAAAACCATACTCGGTCCTACCTATAAGGAACTGTCTGACAACTGACAGTTCGGATTCATGTTTGCATCTGATGACAACCAGCTACCAGTCTAACATCACCAAACTCAGCTGTCAGGAGTGGAGCCAGGGCAGCCACTAGGAAAAGATTTGACTTGCGAGCATTTTTACTTGTTTATGGCAGTGAATACAGAGCATGTGTTTTAAGGAAATAAGCAAGCATATCCTTAAAGAACCACCATCTTCCCTTCTTTTTTTTCTCTCTCTCTCCTTTTTTCTCTCCTTTTTTTTTCTTTCCCCTTCTCTCTCTCTCATCATAATTTGCTTACCAAAAATAAATACAAACAACAAAGGTAGTATATGAAGTTTTATTTATTGTCACCAGGTTTAGAATTTTTAGAAAACCTGGTATTTATTGTAAAAAAACCCCCAGAAAACCCCACAAAAAAACCAACCCCCCAAAAACAACATTTATGATTATCCTGCCATGTACACCCCACCCCAGTTTTGGGGTTTTTTTTAGCATTCTGGCACCTTACAAGGTAGACATTGTGTGGTTTTTTGGCGCACCAGCCAAAAACATTGCCTACCCCTGATCTAGAGTTTAGAGGAGATAGAGTAACATGTACTCCTCCTGAGTCCTGACTAGGCCCCTCAACCTGGTCACCTCTCCCCTCAAAGGACTGGGAGTGGACACTGGCAGCTCCCTACTACAGGGAAACAAGCATCTTATTACCCTTCTTCCTTGTGTGAAGAAACAGCTGAAATACTGTTGTGGGTAGCAGAGCCTCAGAGGAAAAAGAAACCTAAAGATTTTGGTGGTGGAATGGAATCTCCTGGACCCTGAGATCCACAGAAGTACCTAACAAACTGTATCTAGCAACACAAAGGAGCTGGAAGTAGACTTCTTGTTTACTGAAAGGTAAGTTTCAATTTCATTGAGTTTGGTATATTGAACTATATTTTCAGTTAGTCTATTTTTATAATTTATGTAATTCAGAATGGAGTTCCTACCAATCTGAGGGTTTCTGAGCAAATCACCTTCTACCCTTACCTTAGCAGAGAGGTGAGGTCTGAGGGAAGGGGTGGTTTACAGTTAGCTTACTGAAGAGGGCTCCCCTCCATCAATTACTCAGTTTTTCAAATGCTGTAACTTAGTGTTTATATATGTAACTTAGCTATTACATTACATTTTCTTCTCCCTCAGCAACATGGTGCGACCATCTTCTAACATATGGAAGCATTTCCACACAGCAACTACAAGTAATTTTGGAAAAAAACTGCGTTTTGCAAATACTGTCAAATTAAATGTGCATTTCCAAGTGCTACCAGGATGATCAAACACATCCTTGCATGTATGAAGTGTCCTGCAGACAAAAAAAAAAAAGAAATCCTTCATGAGTGTGAATGAGGTAGATCATGATGATAACGGAAGTAGCACTTGCAAACGTTCTCAATCCAGAAGTCCTCCTGCTTCTTCAGTAACATCAGCATCACAAAGCATTACTCAGTCAACATCATCAGGTAAACAGATATCTCAACCAACTGTATCCAAAAGACTCAAAATAACGTCATTTGTAGGCCAGATGACACTTGAAGAGCAAGAAAAAATTGACTAAGCTCTTCCTTGAGCAATATATGCTTCTAGGATGTCATTATCAATCACTGAAAATGCAATTGGCAGGCAGCATTTAAATTAAGACCATTGTACCATTTGCTCAGCAGACATTCTTTGAGCGAGCCTCTTTTAAAGTCAAAATATGAACATGTAATGCAATCTGTGCACAAAAAATCAATGAAGCGCTCTGTCTTGCAGCACTTACTGATGGGTGGACAAATGTATGGGGAGAAGGAATCATAAATTTTGTGATAACACCTCAACTAGTTTTTTATAGCAGCATTGAAACAGGAGAGAACAGATATACTGCAGAGTATATCAGTAGTAATATATGTGAAGTCCTACAGAAGATTGGGAGTGGTAAAGGATTTGCTTTGCTGACTGACGACACAAGTAATATGAAAGCAGCATGGGAGATCATAATGGACAAATATTTACATATTACTGCAATAGGATGTGCTTCCCATGGCCTAACCTTGCTTTTTAATAATTTCATGGAGTTGGACACACTGCAAAAAATCTGTAATAAAACAAAAGTAGACATACATAAAGTATGTAAAATCTACTCATATTGTAGCTGCAATCCTTAAGAAGCAGAAAAATGAGAAGAATAAAATGGCAACACTCAAACCTTGTTGTGAAACTACGTAGGTTGGGTTGATCTCATTTGAAAGTTTACTAACAAAGAAGCTCTTCAAGAACTGGTGATAACTGAAGATCTTAAAGTAGTCTGAAGTGTAAGGAACACTGTACTTGATGAGGAAGTCTTCTGGGTTTAGCTGCAGAACTCCCTGAAGATTCTAAAGCCAATTTCTTCAGCAGTCATTGTATCTGAATCAGACAGTGTGCTTTTGTCAGACATATAATGGCCCAGATAAAATCAACTGTGTTTGACAATGCAAGTATATCTCCACTTACAAGATATACTTACAAGTGGAAGAAGGAAAAGTGAAAGACTTCACTCACAGGTGGGAGGAATTTTGTTGCCAACCAATTCATGCTGCTGCAAATCTTTTGGATCCAAGATTCGAAGGTAGAAATGTCAGTGATGATAGCATCGCTACTGCATTTGACTGGATTATAAAACCAGCAACACACTTAGGACTTGATGTTGGCAAGGTACTTTCAAATGTTGCAGAGTCCAGAGCATGGTCAGGCATTTGGTCCAGGAGTACAATCTGGGACTCAGTCAAGCATATTCCCCCTCTGGCTCCACTTGCTTCTTGTCTGCTTTAGATTCCTCTATTTTCTGCAGCATGTGAAAGAAACTGGTCTTTGTTTAGAAATGTACACCAAATCAAGAAGTAAACTAACCTGTGAAAGAGTGGAGAAACTTGTTTCAATCCGTGCAAACCTTCAGTTTTCTGAAGTCCATGAAGATAAAAAATGAAGGTTCAGAGTCAGAAAATAGTGATATTTCAGAAACCTGAGTGTGATTTTGATTAGACAAATAAACTTTTGATGCTAATATTTTCAAGGATATATTTGATTGTTTGACATATTGGTTTCATGTGCTGAATTTTGTCTGCAACCTTAAAGGGATATTTTTTTCTGAGCTCTTTTCTAAAAATGTGAATTTATTCTGTTTTCTGAAGAGTGCTGACTGTATGGAGGACTCTTTTTAATTCCAGATAATAAAAAATTCCTTTTGTTTACTACAATGTTGACGGTTTCTATTTTCAACTTTTATTTCTTTTCTTAGCAAAACTAAGATATGCTTAAGTACCTCAGGGTGCAGTAGCTTGTAGCTCCATCTGTAACAATAATTACAAATAATTATTTTAAATGCCTTGGTTCTATTCAAATAATAAGGCATTTATACTTTTTAATTTCATAAATATATTAAACATTACAATTTTATGTGCTAATTAGGTTTATACATAATATATTTAATGTTCTTAAAATAGTAAAGTAAATGTAGATATGCAATATTTATTTTTTTTTACCTATATTTCAATTTTTCCCAAAACTTGTTTTTTCTATGGTTGTGAAATTTCTGGAAATTTTTAATCTCTAGTGGTGTATAGCACTACTCTTTCCTGCATAAGCTACCCAACCCCTGTAAGACTGTATTATAAACCTTAGCACAAATGGCAAGTATTTGGGCAATTGTTACAGACTTCTTCTAGAACTCTAATAAGCTGCTTTCGGAAAACTCCAAAGTCACTATGGGGCAAGGTGAAATAAAGGAACAAAGAGTTGCAGAAGCAATAAATAATGGAACATTTAGTTGTTTGAGTCTGTTTTGTGTTTTACTATGAGATAAAAATTTGATGTTTTTTTGCAGGTCTATACTGTCAACTTGGAATCTCGCTATTTGCTAATACAGGGAGTTCCTGCGTTGGGTGTTATGAAGGAATTAGTTGAACAGTTTGCATTATATGGTGCCATTGAAGAATACAATGCTCTAGATGAGTATCCAGCAGAACAATTTACAGAAGTTTATCTCATCAAATTCCAAAAGTTACAGAATGCAAGGTACTGCAGTAGATAACCTTTGCCTGCTTTCCATATCTTAAAGTATGAGTCTGGAGAATTAAAATGAAATAGCCACCTCAGAGATCTTTTGCTACAAATGCAAGTTGTGTGTTCTTTGCATAATATCATAACTCAGTTTCCTGACCTTGGTTTTTTAAGTAGTATTTATCAGTAATCTTCAGAAATTCTTGTTCAAATGTGAACTGTGATAAAGTTGTGTTTGTAACTAATATTTGAATGCAACTTCTGTTTCTCTAGAGTGGCCAAGAAAAAAATGGATGAACGGAATTTCTTTGGTAGCTTGCTCCACGTGTGTTATGCTCCAGAATTTGAAACAGTCCAAGAAACTAGGGAGAAGTTACAAGACAGAAGAAAGTATATAGCAAAAGCAACAAGTAGTAAAGGTTTGTAATTAGAAATGCACAGGTTTTATTCAACACCTGTTTTTCTTCCCCGTACAGTTTCTTTTCTCATGACATTCTTCACCTCATTCATCAAAAACGTAAACATGGCCAGGAAATGTAGAATGGCATTTTCACCCTTACTTCAGACTGGGTAAAAGTGAGAGAGCACTGCAGTGGGGCCTATTCAGCCTTGGAGCACCCAGGGGAAAACTGCCATTGTAAGCCTTGGCCTAAAGGGCATGCTGGGAGTAAAAGGGATGTGGCAGTAGGGCTGCAGCATGCAGTACTGCGGTGTTTTGGCCCACAGGTCAGTCATAGGAAACCCCCGATCTTAAAGTTTACTGGTCTTAACATCCTATGATAGTCTTTAATTGCATTATCAAATACTGTTTAAAAGAATTCAGAAGTAAGAGAACTGTTTTTGTTCTCTCATTTTCAGAACTAAATTGTTTTGCTTAAGCTTTGCAGTTCACAGTCAAGTCGAGGCTAAGCCTCAAATACCAGTTTGAAAACGGTCAATTCCACTATAAGTTAGCTGTGTAAAATGCTTACTTATGCAATACGTGTGTGTAATAATAGTCAAAATACCCTTTTTGTGTTAAAGATCATTTTTCAAAGATGCCACAGGAGCCTAAAAGGACTGTGTCAAATAACTCAGAGTATGACTTTCAGTCGCCAACCTCAGGATTCCGTGCTGCTGATAGAACTGTTGGCAACTGGGATCCATCTGCATGTTTTCCAGACTTTTACAAGACATTACATTGTGACGTCTCCGCAGGAAACATAGCACATCCTTCAGGATATCACTCTCAGAGTCATTTGGCATCCCCTCAGTGTGTCCATTACAGTACTAAAGCTTATGAGTGCTTTAGCTACAATCCATCTCTGAAGCCAGCCGTACAGCAGGGAAGACATAAACATGTATCTGCTTCTCCTGCACTGCAAAGAACTTTTGATAATGGAATTGATAGATTTATGCCACGGACAACTCAGCTGGCAGAGCGGAAGAGAAAAAGAGACGAAGGCAATAAACTTGGAATAATTGGAACAAATTCAGATAGTAATGAAGTTGTCATTGGACCTCAGCTGCCAGAAATGCCCAAAGTGGATATGGAGGATGATTCCTTGAATACTTCAGCAAGCTTAATTCGAAATAAACTTCAAGAGGTATGTGCTATAAAAAAAAATCCTTTCAGACTTAGGCAGACAAGGTTCTTTGGGTAAATCCAATATCTTTTATTAAACCAACTCAAATAGTTGGAAAAATTCTTTGCAAGCTTTCATGCACAAACAAGTGTTTAAAACCTAATTTACGGGACCATAATCTAATTACATTAAAATGCCGCATATACTTTCACCATCTGGCCTGGATTCTAAGAGGTGCCCCAGTCAGTTGCACTTACCTCCCAAAATAAAGCCAAATGTCAGGAAAGAGAACATAGTATTTAACCTTCTAGTTGCAGTAGTGTGGTCACTTTCATAGTGCTGCAACTCTGAGTGCTGAAGTATCTTCACTTCATAAAATTTCTTATTTTTAATCTCAAAAATACAAGACGCATTAAAGTAATCATTAAGATATGCATTTTCCACACAGATTTCACTTCTCTTTACAACTGGGGATATCCAATAAGAGACAACCAACTAGTTGAATCTTAGAAGTCTTTGTGTTGATCTGCGTTCTTCTGAACCTCCAGTTTTATTCAAATAAGTTTCTCATCCTTGTGTGTGTTATGGCATGCTGCCTAGTATCCATGAGTTTTCTGTTGTAACTATTCTGAATGAAAAAATAATACCCAGAGGGCATGCCCACTTTCTAGAATCTCCTTTCTTTTACCTAACACTTATTTGAATTTTTTTTTACTTCAGTTTAAATAAATTTTAAATTATTTTTTATTGATGTTGTACAATGGCTTAAGTGACACATTTTACCTGAACAGCTGTACCACAGCTCAGGATTATCTGCATTTTTCTCAAACAGTAAAGGGTTGGACAGAAATCTGAAGTTGATGCCTACTTTGAAATTAAGCGATAATATTATAAAGTCAGAACTTGTTTCTACTCTCAGCTACTTTTAATGGCAAAATACTTATGCACAGTAATAATTTATCCTGTTCTCTTCTAATGAGTGTCATTTAAATGAGATCTAGAAAAGATTTTCTTGAGAAATCAATCTGCCTGAGAATTTTAAGCATTTTCTAAAAACATTTCCTTAGAAAATAACTGGGTCAGAGACTGGCAGATTATTTGACACTTAAATTGATGTTCTGACTACCCAGCACTTTCCTTCTATAAATTATTTTGATCCACTTCATTCTGAGGTTACCTACATTTTGTTCCTGTTTGTAAAATGTAAAAGGCTTTCATTCTTGGAGTTTACAATTTATGACTTCGAATTTTACTAGAGAGTAGTTGGGGCCAGATAGTATTTTTACTTATGTAGAGTGACATATAACTCCACGTGTATTCCCACTGATTTCAGTGTGGTGTTCCTGTTTTACTTAATCTTTTGCTGTAAAAGGAATAAATATTTTGAATTCTCTTAGTTTTTACTGATGTGTGATCTAGGAAGGTCACAGTTTAATTTAATTACATGTCGTAGGCAGATATGCCTGCCTGTCAGTTGAAGGAAAGAAAATATTCTAACCTGAGGAAATTTGTTATGGAGATGGAATAAAAATAGAATCCCAAATGTCCTTGAATCATATTACATTTTTCTTAAATCTGGAATAATGTATGCCTTTCTCTTATTATTTTTGCATTTACTAGATTTAAATTAGGTTAACATTTTTTCAAGAAACAATTCTATTCAAGTTTCCTTGAGTACAACAAGTTATTTGAAAGTCCCTGGCTACAAGTGCAATCTTCCTTTTCTACTATAGTTCCTTTTTTCCATTACAGGGTAAGTTGCAGGACATAAAACTATATTTTCACATCCCTTTAATATAACAGAAGAGTGTAATATACTGTTCTAACTAGAGGTGCAGTCTGATATAGAATTGGTACTGATATGAAGAAAGTTGTCTATAGCAGATATTGGCCCAATGGGGCTGATAATATGGCCGATGAATGTCCATGCTGCGCACAGCTGCAGTGCAGCACAGAGCAGAACTGGCAGCGTGGAGAGCGGCCTCCAACTGGAAAGGGAGGGGGAGCGAAGGAGGGCATGGCAGGGCAGATCAATGCTCCCCCGCGGTGAGGGATGGGGCAGGGGCAGGCACTGCCCAGCTGGGGTGGGGGTATGGGATGGAGGCACGACTCATGGGGTGGAGGCAGCTCCCGTTGTTGCTTGTACCCTGGGAGGGCGGGGGCAGGGGCTGGGCTCGGAGCGGGCTCTGGCAGTGCAGCCACCCCAGATTTCACTGCAGGTCTGCTCCCAGCCCCGTGCCACCACCTGCCACAGCTCCAGCTGAATGCCCCACCTCCACCCAAGCATGGGGAAAACCTGGGTCTGCAGCGACATGGGGCTGGGAGTGGAGCTACAGCAAAATTTGAGGTGACTGTAGTCTGCTCAGAGCCCAGCCCAGCAAGAAAAGCCCCACAGCACCAGCTCTGGCTCCACAGATCTGGGGGGGCACCCCCCCCCGCCACCCTCCCGGGGTGCAAGCAGCAGCAAGAGCCACTAATGGCTATCAGCATTGGCCCCCAAAATCTCTATCGCTGCATCCCTAATTCTAACATCAAATATTCAATTTGGTGTTAAAATACAGCCAGTTTGGTCACTGATTACCCTTTTATTTGTTGAAGCTGTACTTGTAAAAGTATTTTCTCTTCCTCCCAGAACTCAAAACACTGGAGAGAAATAAATATATGGGAGCTTTTATTCTAAACGCAGTAAAAAGTGCAGCATACTAAACTTGGAGTTTATATTTGAAACTAGGTGGCAGCTTCCGTTCCAGAAACTTTGAAGGAAAACCGACAGGACATTCAAGCAAAGCCACTTGTAAAACAGAGAAGAAGAATATAAATGTTCACTCTTTTTAAAGGATACAATTTCAGTTATTTATTTTTCTAATGTAACAGGTAAAAAATAAACTATATTTCAAAATGATTTTCAAGTGGTGGTTTAAAAATTCTAAACTTTTTTTGGTACATTTCATTAAGCAAACAAGTGTTTATAGTACAGTCCTCTGTATACCTATTGCTGTTGAGATGCAAGAGTTCCAGGTGTACAAGTAACTTTTTCTGTCGTAAAAGAACTGCAGATCATTTAAAAGGAAGTATTTGAGTTACCTAATACTGAAGAAATGGGTTAGAAGCTATACTAAAAATAGGAATATTAGTTTTTAGTGTTAAACTAAATCCTGATTTGCTTCTGTTTTTAATGTCTTAAGAAAAACAGATTTTCTGAATCAGTTAACAGCAGAAATCTAGTTATAGCGCTACAGATCATGAGTTTCTTGGAAAGCTTGCATTTCGAATGCCATGCTGCTCTGTAACAAGACAAAAACAACACAGTAATTTATCTTTTCTTAATGATTAGATCAAGGAAACTATTATCTAGAAAACTTCTGTTAAACGGAGGTCTTTAAGGATTAAGCAAGTTACTGAAATTTTAGGAACATCCTTCTAATCCCTCATTTTATCACAACTCATGTAAAATCAAACAAAAATAAAAGATGGCTCATGGCTGAGAAATCAGAATATTCAGTATTATGGTTCCTATGGGAAGCTATAGGATAGTATTACTATTACATAGGACTCATAAGTCTGAATGTCTTGATTTGTACATATTAGAATTAAATCAAATGGCTGCAATGAGTGTTGTCCTTGGCTTAAAAAAAAAGTAAAAGTTTGTTGCTGCTCTGCAAGCCTGGTTATTTCATATGCTAGAAAATAGTAAAATTAGTATCTTAAGTGCATTTGCAGCTTTTTTTACTAGATCTATATAGTAATGCATAGCAGAAAAAGCTCCTTATTAGGTTCCTAGTTTTATACCAAAACCCTTTTTCAGGGTATAGAATACAGAGCATAAGCAATGAAAGCAGGAAACAGTTAATCTGCATCTCCAGGTAGCACTACTTTAGAGGTGAGGATTGGGAGTCAGAGCCTGGACTTTTTGGCTCAGCTTTTAATGACTTTCGGCAAGGCACATAACCTCTCTCTGCCATGCCCTTGTTTCTCTTACCTTAGAAATTAAGATTAGTAGTACAGCTGGGCAGAGAGGTAATTCCATTTAGTAGTGGATTTTAGGGTTTTAAAATTGTGGTTTTGTTTTTACTAAGCACTAAAAAACTAGGAAGCTTAGAATTCTCCATGAAACTGAATGACAGGTTTTACATATTCCCTGAAGTCCCAAGTGTGTGCCAGGGAGTGCCAGGTCTTCAGGGCAGAGAGAGTGAGGAGTCTCAAAAATCTAGGGAGAACCAATTTAAGGTTACTGCCTGCCAAGCTGCCCCAAAGCCCTGACTTCCAGGGCTGTCTGCCTGACAGGAGCTTCTCCCTGGGAGCCTAGGCTGCCAAGAAGCTGATGTTTGGGACTGTTCAACCTCTTGGCTCAAGCCAAAGGCGGGCCCAAAGGCACGTCTTCAGCAGAATTTCATGAAAAGGAAGTTAAGCAGAAGGGTGCATTTACAAATTTATTTCCCATTTTAATGCAGGGATACTTTCCTACCTTTATATCTGGCAAACACGGTCCAAATGCTTCTAAAAGAAGATTTTCATCTCTTACAGCTTTTTCAAAATCAGCGTAAGAAAGTTTGCCATCATGGTCATAGTCCTGCAAAAGAAGGATAAGGATTATTGATGATTCCCTGTGAATATGCACAAGATCAAAGGTTTTTGGCCAGCCGTTTCTATTAAAACGGTGCCCGTGTCCTAGGTATCTCTGTATCACCCCCACCTGAGGGTATAAAGCAGGGCTGTGCAACTTCTAAGCAGCCAGGGGCTGGATACCCCATGGGCTGCACTGGTAAGTGCCCCACATGGGTCCTATCCCCCACACTGATGCAATGCACAACTGTATGGGCGAGCCCCCTGACCACTGCACCACATACCTATATGGCCCCTGCTTCACCCTCAGCTGTCTGTGCTGCACAGCTCTGCCCTGGTCCATGGAGTAGCAACTCTACTGTTGTCTTAAATATAACATAATTTGAATCTTGAAAACCATTTATTCTTCTAGTGTCAGAAAGAAAGCATATGGCAATTTTCTTGTGTTAACTGAGATGTTGCTACAGCTTCTGACATGAAATTCTTTACATGAAATGCATCTTTAGTTGGCTGTAGGAAAAATTTACAGGTGAAATGAGAGAGAACCCTTTGTTGTGTTTTTAGGTCATTGGACTGGAACTCATGAGATATGGGTGATGTGTATTTCTAGCTCCTCCTTTCATAACTTGTGTAATCTGGAGTAATTTCCTTAGTATCCCTGTGCCTCAGTCCCCATTTATGAAGGTGAAATATCCTCATAGGGATTCACTGCTTTTGCAGTCTGAGCACCTCACTAAAATCAAGAGAACACTTAAATAAACCACCACTTTAGGAAGGGTACTTGCCATTTTTTTCAGTGTTATTTCTACCAGGTCTTTAATTCCCTCATCAGGATCTTCTTCTGTTGGTTGTTTTAGGAGGCTGTTCTTCAGCATATGGAACATCTCCTCTCGTGATATGTATCCATCACCATTCAGGTCATAAACCTCAAAACAATCTTATCAAAATAAGTCAAGTTTATTTATAAACCATTTCCTTGCCTTTAGAACTGTTGTTAGCTATGTGTTAAAACAGGTAAAACTTTTTTTTATCCTTAACAGCATAGCTACATTTACTCTACATACAAATAGTTCTACTTTTATGCTTGTACTTGGTCATTATTTTACTTATCATTCACAGTTAAAACTTCATTTTTAGCTAAGTTTGAAAAACGAGTACAGTAGTTATTTGAGTTATAAATGCTCCAAACCAAGGATCTTGTCTGTAGGCTTACTGCATTGCTGTATAAATAAAAACAAATACAAGTTTTGTGAAACTGCATTTAGATTAAATAAATTATGGAAGAAGATGTGGAAAGGTGGGTCAGTATTTCAGATGAGAGACAGTAGGCTGTTAAATTGTATTTAGTTAGCACATGCAGAACTGACCCAAGCAGGGTGCAGGGCTGGGGCAAATGTGGGGCCCTGCCCCGCTCCGATTGTACCCGCCTCAGACCCAAAGAAGTTGCAACTGCCATCAACAGTGGCCAGCGGAGGAGGGGGGATGGTAAGCAAGCGGCTGGACTCGAAGCAAGCAGCAGTGCCGCAGAGTCGCTGTGGCTGCTCTGCCCAGCTCCACAGGGTTCCCCAAAGCGCGGGGGCTGGGGCGATCGCCCCCACCCAGCGACCCTGAGTACATGTAATCACTAGGATCTATACAGAGTGCTTATCCCACTAACAAAGATATTAGATTAATAAAAAGGAGTTAGATAAAGTTGCTACTAAGTTCAATGCATTGTACCTATTAATTAAAAAAAATGAAGCTTCTTGGGGTGCCATTTTTAAAGGTAAGAAATCCTATTCTTGTTGAAAGTGTAGAGTGAAAACATTTGGTTTGACAATCATTCATTTGTTCTCTGTCATTCCTTTAGTTCTGTGCATGTTCACTAAGGAGGAGTGAAAGTCTGTCACTGCAGATTAGTCTGCTGATGGGCAACAGATATTGGAAAACCCACTAAGCTGTGCCCTTGGAAAATGTGCAGGCAATAAGAGCACTTTGAAGAAATGCGATTTTCCAACTATGATGATTCCCATGAATAGCAGGTCAGTTCAGAACCTTTATCTAACTCCTGGTCTCATAATTTTGTCCTAGGGTCCTAATAAAAATACAGAAATAGAAAGCCAAAACAAAATGGCAGTAATAAAAAGCTTTGAATCTAATAACATAAGACTGTTAAAAGAAAACATCTTTAATTACCCCACATTTTATAAGATGATATTATATTTGTATAAAATTTAAATAATACTTTCAACATTTATGACTCGATACTGAGATCAGAGAAACCTTACATTTCATCTTTTCTTCTAATGTCCCCCGAAGAAAAATTGATAAGCCTTCCACCCATTCCTTTACACTGACACAGCTATCATTGTCCTTATCAAAAGCACGAAACACTGAAAACAGAAATAGACAAAATTCAAACAATCTGTTTACAGCAATACAAACCAGACAAAGCAAAGAAGTATTTATTATCATGTAGTACAATATGACAATATGTGTTTGGGTGAAGATGTTTGTCTATTTTAATCATGACTTAATTTGCATCCCTTTGGCAAAATTCCCTTTCCTTGCCTCCCTTTTGAAAAATACCTTTCCCTTAATATCAGGGTTGGAGAATCTGTCTTCCCTAGGGTAGGGAAATGCAACATGTTAGCGTGAGGCAAACAGGCTGTGAATTTATTCAGTAATAATTGTTCATGTGCATGTCCACATGAGCACGCACACGTCTCTCGCCCAGCCTCAAACCCCTTTGAGGCGGGGCAACAGGTACGTGCGGGAATGAAAAAACATTCCCCGTGCTGCAAGTCTGCAGTGCGGGGAGAAAATTAGACCCCTATATCCAGGGGTCTAAAAAAATAAAATAAAATTGAAGTTTAAAAAAGCAAAGCAGGTCCAGGACCGTGACCTGAGGCAACCGGAGGCTGGGTCCTCCATGGAGACACTCTGGCTGCCAGAGCGTCTGTCTCTATGGTTGGCCATTTGCCCTAGTGCTGAAACACATGGCCGGCCAGGCTATGTGTTTCAGCACCAGGGCTCTGATGCTGGTAAGTAAGGGGTTGGGTGGCTGGAAGAGGGGGGGGTGGGAACCATTGTGGGGGACCCACAATGACCCTGCCCACTCCCCCAGGCCCCTGGATCCCTGCC